TAGTGATAATTACACGAGAGCCGCTTACATGAAGGTTGGGGCTACAATGTACGTCACCCGTTTGATTAGGTGGTCTCTCCCGGACTCGGGGTGAATTAAAGTGAACACTGACGTGCTTTTGATAACAGGTCGGGGCTGAGTAGTGCGGGGGGCTGGCCCGAGATGATATGGGACGGTGGCTCGGAGGCTTTTTATTGAACATTGGATCATGTACCATTACGGGCGTCGAGCTATAGGGTCTTTTTCATGGGCTGCTTTTGGCGTGGGAGTTGGGCTAGCGACTAGTTCTTGTTGAAATTGATAGTCAGTGCGTTGTTAAAATGGTTTCTCATTCGTATGGTTGTTATGGTTCTCATGAAGCAATTGTTCATGCTATTCACGGTTTAATCCAAAGACATTGTTCATCATGTGCGTAGAGAAGCAAATTTCGCTGTTGATCATTTGGTGAGTCTGGCGACAGCCTATCTGATTGGTCTGCATCAAGTTTTGTCACCGCCTAGTGGTTCAGGAATATGGTTGGACCATGATAGTATAGGGGTATCATACTCCCGGCAAGTTCTAGCATAAGCCCTCGGCTTCTTTATTTGTACTAAAAAAAAAATAAAAAAATCTCACGTATGAATTGGGATCGTAAATTCAACCAAAACAACGTTTGGTGTTTAAGTTCAAGCTCATTTCAGTGAAGTTCGAATAAAATAAGTCAAATATATATTTTTTTTAAATCAAATAAGTCCACCAATATTTTTTTTTTTTAAATCAAATAATGTAAGTCATTGAACCTAAATTTCAGTTCATGTTTGAAAGAGATTCAATCAACAAATTTCCACAAGTATTGAATCAACAAATTCATTTTAAATATCAGATACCAATTAGATAATTGTATTAGTTAGTTTGACTAGTCTATTCAATCAGCAATTTGGCATTTAAACATATGATAAAAATAACAAAAAATTATAATTGTTACGTTGTGTTATGTTTAGTTGATTCATCTCCTCTCAAAATGATGCTCTTTTAAAACTTT